GGTAGAAAATTTGTGGCCACACATGCCACACATGCCCTCATGCCCATGGCAGACGTTGCTAATCAATTAGGAAGCTTTTTAATGTTAATGCTTTATTCGATCACTACTAATCCGTTGGGGTCTGCACTCAAACCGACATCTGTTGGCCATGCCTACACTAGATTTAAGGGAGAATTTCTTAATTATGGGAACTATAAGACTGAAGCCCAAGGGGAAGTAGGGATGTCTCTTCCTCTGGAGGAATACTGAGAAATATATGACGTCCAGCTGCCAGCCTTGGTTGAATGCAATCTTTGAATATGATCAAGGCTCTCCCTTTTGTTCATAAAAAAACAGGCTCATAGAGCACAAGTGTGTCCAAGGTCACATCACTGGTTGGGCAGTGTGGAACCATCAGGTATTATAATACGTTTACCTTTGTAAACTTTACTCTTTCTCCCCTTTATTTCAGGGTCCCACTGGAAGACCTGGCCTCCCAGTGAGTAGCTTTTATTTCTTCCTTCCTCTGCATCTCTCTCACGTGCTCTTTCTCAATCCAAGGACTGGCGGGTTGGGTGGCTGTTTTCCTCCATATGTATCTGGGTGCGAGGCCCCTCTCCAGTTTCTCTAACCCATATCTGAGGGTAAACTTCCTGGGTACCCTTCTGGGGCCTCCAGCAGGTAGATGACAGCATGCAGGCCCCTCCAATGTTGGACTGGACTTCCAGACAGATGGCCCTATAAGGAGGGCCTGGAAGGGGAGGTAGCCCACGGGCTTACTGGGTATCTTCCTTCATGCCAGCTTAGATTAAGGCCACTGTCCCTGCTTTGTCTTATGCCCTCTGATAGGAGTAGACTCAAAAACTTTCTTTTCCCCCTAGTTACCATTTCCAAATGGTAGGGAAGCTATGCCAAGTAACCATGGGGTCTTTGGAATCAAAATAGGAAAACACTAATTGCCACCTCTTACTGAGACCTTTATGCATTCCAGGCACTATGCTAATCACTCTTCACACGTTCGATTTGTTCAACAACTCAGTGAAATAGGTATCATTATGCAAACTTTATAGATGAGGAAACCGAGACTCAGAGGGGTAAGATGCCTTATCTGATCGTCCAAGCTTCAGTTGTAGACCTCTTTGAGGCCCATACCATGCACCATTCCATACTACTGTTTCCTGTGGTCCCTGCTCCACGTCTGAGAACCATCTTTAAAGTCTTCAAAGACATTGCTGTGTGGGGTGTAGCCTGGGGCATATATGCATTGAGTACTAGATACCATAGGTAGGGAGGGGCTCAAGCAAGGTGCTGTAGTCAGCCAGAGGGCCAAGGTGAAGTGTGGAGAGTATCCGGGGCTGGCACCGGGCTTCCCGCTCTCCCTGAGCGGAAGGCCACATCCACTGGACTCCAGACCCTCTGTGCATCTCTCTTACCCAGTTACTCCTCCTTTGACATGAATTATTCTGTAACTTCGTGACTAATCCAACAGCTTCTAGAATTCATGTCCAGCAGTGACTTTCTTAATGAAATGCATGTGGGAGAATGTTTAGCCTTGAAAATGGAAACTCTCCCGGTAAGTCCGATGCCTGGAGCAGAGGAGGACGGGTGAATCGGTCCCATGAAACCCAAGGAGGGAAAAAATCAGATGACTGGTGGGGGAACGTGGGCAGACTTTGTTTTTTCTGACAACGTCCACCTTTAAAAAGCATTTGGGGGCAATTCACAGAGCAGAGGCTGCGGCACATAGTTTCCAGTCTCTGGCCATTCCACGTCTGTCCCGAACCCGAGCAGTTTATGGCCAGGACTGCAAAGAACATTAGTTTTAAGAAAGAAATGAAAAGAAACCAAAACACACATCCTGCAATATCATTCAAAAGCCCAAAAGTGAGTGGGCCGTGGGGATGTCACACCCGACATCTAATGGATCTGGTGTCCTCAGCAGAAAGGGCCACTGATCCACAGGTCACGGTCCTGCTCATGCTTCTGCCTGAAGGGACCTGAGAGTGTCCCACAGAAAGATTTGCTGGCCCCTTGTTGTGAAATGCAAAACGTGTGAAATACAAATATGCTTATAAAATTCACTTGCCTGCTGGGCTTACTACCGGTAGACACCATTTATATACAACACTCACCAGATGCCAGGCACTGGAAGTAAGATTGCCAGAGACATCGTCTCATGGCAGCCTCCCAGCAGCCCCATGAGAGAGACGTGGATGCTCAGGGAGGTTAAAGAAACAGACTCATGCTTATAACCAACATTGCTACCCTGCCACACAGCAAAAGCTGAGTGTTTTATTAAAGACACCATTGATCTGAACAAGGTATGTGTCACCAGAGCCTAATTTCAGAGCCGATTGCGACTCTCTGGGGCGTCCACGTAAATCTTCGGATGCTAATTGTCCCTCAAAGACATTTTGCCCCAGTGGGATCAGCAGACACAGAACCACCCCCAGAGATGCCCACACCCTTCAGAGAGGAACCCATACACCCAGCTCTCGCCTGCCCAGCAGGACAAACGCGATCTGATTTTTGGCCCCTGTTGTTTTCCATGCTTCCAGCTCCTAGCAAACCCCAGGCCTCACCCCAGAATTTATGATGTCTGTACACATATAATTGCAAAAAAATATTTTCTACCAAAAGGGGGAGGAACGAAACTTAATAAGCAGATTTCCAGAGTGAGAAGATGTAAGCCCTGGCTGCAAAACAAAGCAGTTCCCTCTGAGCAGCTGGAACTTGTGATGCGGCTGGATCCACATGGCTCACGGTTCTTCCTGTTGGTGCTGAGGGTGGCCACGAGGAGGAGGCGTGGAGGACTGTCCGTAGCCTTCTCAGAAGAGGACCTGGGGAGGAGCTGGGCACTGCTCCCCAGCTCTGGCATAGAGAGACCTAGGGAAGTGGTTCACCCATCACATGGGAACTGCCACTCACTCTGTTCTGTGTCTTGAAGTTGAGCATGACAAGGCTGTGGCACATCCTGGCTATAGCTGGAATGGATTGCGACAACAGACGTCTAAAGGAAGAAGGGCCTTGGACCACTGATGGAACACATAGCGAAACTGAGGCCCAGGCTGGAGACCAGACTCATACATTAGTGCTCTTTCCATAGCACCATGCCTGAGTGCATATAGAGACAGGGGTGGCTGCTTGCCAAATAGTCTCTGGGGGCTAAATGGGCAAGTTCATCCATATGATACCTGGGCATTGTCCCTACTGCCCATGCAAACCAGATCTTGGGTACATAGCTAGCCCGTGGGGCCTTTACATGCTGGCTCACCTCCAGCCACATCTAATTATCTCTGCATCCTTCATTAGGGGGACAAAGGCGCCATTGGGATGCCTGGACGTGTGGTGAGTTGGCTCATGTCTACCTGCTTGGGTGGCCATTGCTTGCTTCTTCATGCTGGCCTATCCCCCAAACCATGGCAAGCTGTTGCCTACCCCCAGCCTGAGGAAGGGGTCAGATCTCTCCCTTCCCCTGCCCAAGTCAGCTTCAGAAAGAGACAGACGAGAAGAAGGAAAGAAGTTTCATTCCAACCCTTCAGATCTTGCAATCCAGCTTTACTCTCCAGAGAGCTGCCAGCAAAGGAAAAATCCAAGGAATTTCATGAATAAAGCTCTTTGCTGGATGACAGGGTGAAGCCCAAACCCCACTTGGTATTGAGAAGACTTCCACTCACGCCATCCGCAAACCCCTAAGGCTGGCAGTTAGCCTTCAGATTTATAGCAGCTCCTGCAACCATCCCCCAGCAAGAGCAGCCAAAGATGGTAAGAAATGCAGCCTCCCAAGGCTCTATGGAAATTGGTGGAGCCAGCTTCCCAGAGGCATCTTCCACAGGCAGAGGCTAGAAGGAGGTGAAGACAGGGCTTGCTCCAGGCTCCCAATCCCCACCAGGAGGCTAGGCGTTAAAACGTTTAATATTTCC